AATAAATAAGCATAAATGGTAATTTAAAATAATCTATATAAATATTAAGCATTATAAATTTACTTAAATAGATAAACGCTTACTAATAACCTTAAAAACTTCTCTTCATAATATATAACATTCTAATCTCTATTTCCCCGTTCCTGGTTTCGCGCAACTGCATTGCGCAGCTACTTATTTGCTAAATAGAACAGTATAAGTGACTGTTTTTGACCAAATCAGCACTAAAAAAGAAGTATATACATGGTTTCGAATATATTTAATATTATATATGATAAAAAATTTATAATTAATAAATTAATAAAATATTTGTTATTTAAGAATGGAAAATGTTAAATGGTGCACCTATGCATTTGGTGCACTTTCTTTTGTATAAATTAAATAAGTATAACATTAGAGTTAGGGTTAGAATTAGGGTTAAGATTATGGTTGCTTATTAGTAAAATTGTACAAGGAATATTTTTTATTAGTCACACAGCAGGGTTACCCTAGTAAAATTTTGCAATATCGTCAAATAATTCAAATAAACTATTATTATTAAAGTTAGAATTCGAGTTAGGGTTAAAGTTAGAGTTGGGTTAGGCTTAAAATTGTGTAATGAACATTTTTTATTAGTTACACAACAGGGTTATCTTAATAAAATTTTGAGATACAGGGGTGGTGCACCAAATGCATAGTGTATCATATGGTAGCTTCCATTAAATAAACTCCAATTAGTTGAATAAATATAAAAAAAAACTTCGATTATTTCTTCAAAAATCTTGTGATTTCATGATTCTATTATTCTTGTGCACATTGAAATTTAAAAAGCGATTACGTAACTAATTTAGGTGGCGATATTAGGCGTGTTTGTATCAATGATCTGGTAACTCTTCAAGAGAGGCGAACGTTTTTCTGCTTAAAAATTTTTCAAATATGCATGTATAAATAAATATTTTTTAAAAATTTCATTTGCTTTAAATGTATAACATGTGATCCATATATAAATTTTTTATTTTTTTTGGTAAATTTTCACAGGTACAAGTTGAAATTGGTGCACAAAATAATGAATGTTAACATGTCAATACTAAAGTTAGTACTTTAATATTATCATCTTTGTTTTTTTGTTTTTTTTTTATTTTTTTATAGTAGTTTAAAACGGGGTTCAACATTAGTGTTGCATAATTTGTGTAACTAGTAATAGTATACCTGATGATTAACTGTAAAGTGATAACGTAATAAATTGAGTGTGATTGCCTTGGTAGTAGTAGTTACTATCATAAGGGTAGAAGGTGGAGGGGTGTATACGTACGATACACCAGTCGCAAATGAGTTGGTTAGTGGATCATAGGAAGATATTCAAATGATTACCCGTGATAATTGGAATTCATAATGCAAACGAAGTTTATAACAGCAAAACTTATATTAATTATAAATTCGAGGAGAAATTTAATTGTTACTGCTTTTGCTAAATACATCAATACTCTCGAAATATATTATCAATTAAGCAATACCACGTATATATTTCTCTGGTTATTATTTGTTTCATATCCGTTAAAAGGAAATATTTAAAGAATTCCACTCTTTATTAATATAAATTCTTAAAAAATAATCTTATTTCATTTATTACAACTGTTGTATTACCATCTTTGCTCTACATTATTAATTAATATTACACGTATATATTATACGCACTAAAGCCATATTTACAGTATAGCTCAATCATAATAAGCCAATAAAGTAATATAAATATTAAGAATTTTAAGCTTAAATACTATAAGTCATTAACTTGTAAAAAAATTTTCTTAATCTAAATTTACCTTAAACACCTTGATCGTTCTTTACATTGACTATTTTTTTACATTTAGTGTATCTATATAACTATACAAATAGTAATAGTAATAAATAATGAAATCTTCACTTCTAAATTAATTTCTTGGGTCACTGACTATTTTTTGATTATATTTGTACGGTGATTTAAACGTTTTTTCAAAACTAGAAATGACTTTTACGGTGATTTTTTTGCTAGTAAAACTTTACATTCTAAAAAAAGTAATTTATGAACTATTTAGGACTCAAAGACCACTTTAGCCGCAAACATATATGAGAATTATCTTTTTTGAAATTTATAATAGCGTTTGATCACGTTCAATACTATGATATCACTACTAGTCTTAATATTTTAGATGATTGTTAAGCATAAACATAAATTTTCATAATTTTCACTCAAAATTAACAATGAATTATTGATTTTATTAAGTCAAAAAAGATTCCCCCTATCACAGATTCATGGCATTGAAAAATATGTAGATGCCATAGAAATGATATACATCTTTATTTGATTCCGCTTCCTGCATAATAGCATCAAATAATGGGGACATCAATTTTTCTAAATAATTACATGTTGCTTGCTCCCCACAAGCAATATAGTACATACCGATATAGGCTTCAAATGCGTCTGCGTGAAGCTTTTTAATTTCTAAAAATTCCATACCATTAAGCTTATGCAAACCCATTGTAATGGAATAGGCTGCCAAAACTTCATTGGTAGCCATTACCATTACACCTAACTCGATTGCCTCTACTGAATAATTAATGAGATAGTTTCCTTTTGCAATTTTTAGGAGGCAGTGCTCGAGTACACTGTCTCCTAAATATTCGAACATCTCCCATTGAGGCCGATATTTAACATATCCCGTAGCCAATTTTGCAAAAAGTGAAACCCCAATGGGAGGAATGATCTCAAGATCAGTTCTTAAATTTTCTGTCGCTTAATGATTAAAAAAAAATTTAAATTTATTTAATTGTACGAAAAACTCAATTAATTATAAAATTATATTTATTATAGTTACGTAGTTTTACAATGATTTTAGACTTTCTTTTTCCACATTTTTTTATATAACATTTTACTTTATCCTTTGCGCTGAGTTTATTTTATTTTCCTGTTGTGTATATTTATTACACAAATCACCCGATTTTTGCTTCCATTCTTCTGCTGTTTCATTCTAATTAATAGTAAGAGTTTATATATTATCATGATTTTTAATATTTTAAAGTTATAAAGGTTGATTATGAAAAATAATTACATTTTCTTTCTGCTCTCTCACTGAAATATTTAAACTCTCCACGGGATCAACTATTAATTTTCCTGCAGCTTTCTCACTCAATTGTTTAGGTTGTTTTTGCGACGATATAAGTAAATTTCTAGGTAAAAATGCTGTCGAATTTAAACGATTGGGTGTGTTTAAAAGTTTGGTTGATTCAAGGGTTGATATATTTACACGTCCAAGGGACTCAGGCATTGGAGAATTTAAATGATTAGGTGATTTAAATGTTGTCAGTGCAACTTCATTAGAATTGAAAGTTTTTATTTTCTTGGACGTCTTCTTACTAAAATTGGCTTCTTTTTTTCCTGAATTAAAGTGGTTAAAACAATATCATGTACATATGGTTGATTCTAATATTATAATAGAAATATAGCACACCTTCTTTCTTTTATTATTTCCTATATTATTACATATTCCATTGTCTGAAGTTCCTTCACGTATAGACGATTCTCCAATAAAAATTAAGCTCCTATCCAGCTGGCTATGAGATAAGTGATGCATCGGTGGTATCTGAGATGCCAAAGGATTGCCACTGTTTGATCCACTTGTATTGTTGATGATGAATCAGCTGTTATGGAGGTCTTCGAACTACTCCCATGATCAACTTGAGGAAGTTTAGATATGTCTATTGAATTAAATAATAATGTGTTACATTAATTTCTTTAAAAATGTGTAATTAACAACATAGCGAATATTTTTGTTTTAAAAAAGCGTGATCAATGAATGATTTTATATATTATGAAAATCAAAGTACATAGAAATTCTTACTTGTAAAATTCACATCTTTTAAAATCAGCTATGTTTAAATTTTATCATGAAAAAGATTTTGTAAAAAAAAAGACGCGTATAATTACCTAGGTTTACTTTATTATTAGCATCATTTTCACGTTTAGACTCGACTTCATTATTAAAATCATTTGATAAATTATTGTTTGCGACATTAAAAAACTTCTGTATATTAATAAATAAGCCGTCATATTTGTTTTCTAGTACTGGGAGATTATTATAAATCCACTCTTGAGTTTTTATGAGAACGCAGTTAAGTTTATTTAAAGTCCGCTCTTGTCTTGAAGAAAATTTTAGCGTTTTATGATTCATTTTAAGAAACAGTAAGTTGTTAACAATTTTAAAAAACTGTAAGTTGTAAACAATTTTAAAAAACCTATAACTGTTGTTTTAGGCCACGCAAAATTAATTTTTCGTTTAACATTACCCGCCGACCCATTTTTTTAATTTTTCTAAAAAAATTTTTTTTTTTTTTTACATCTCAATTGTGCCAATTATTCGATTTTTGCTATTTATTTTTTCTGCAATTTTTA